CCCTATCCCCTCTAATCTACCCTCTTTCTCTATAGATTTGCCTATTTTGGATATTTCATATAAATGGAATAAAAACGTGGTCTTTCATTCCTGGCTCCTTAGTGTAATGTTCTTGTGATTGAGTACCTCATCCCTTTTTATTCCCAAATAGTCCACTATGTGGATACACTACATTTTACCTATTCACCCTATTCACTCATCAGCTGAGGGACATTCAGGTTGTTTCTACTTTTTGCTTATGAATAATGCTGCTATAAATATTTGTGTACAAGGTTTGGTGTGGGCATGTTTTCATTTCTACTGGGTACATACCTAGGAGTGGAAATACTGGGTCGTATGGTAACTGTTTAACATTTTGAGGAACTGCTGAACTGTTTTCCAAAGCAACTGCACCATTCTACATTTCCAGCAGCACCGTATGAGGGTTCCAACTTCTTTACTATTGTTTGAATCCTCACAAATTTACTACATACAGAACAAGAACGATCTCATTATATGATATCCTTGCCTTCAGGGAACTTATATTGACAGAATAAGACAAGAAATAAACAGAAACGAATAAACAGGTCAGTTTCAGATACTTTGAAAAAAAAAGTCATAAAGTAACCAGAAAGTAACCAAGTAAGAGGGATCTCAAGCTAAGGTGGTCAGAACAGATGTCTCTGAGAAGGTAATGTTGACCTGAGATGTGCAGAGCTAGAGGGGGAATATTCCAGGCAAAGGAAAAAGGCAAGTAACGAAACTCCGAGACAAGTATAAGTTTGGCATGGCAAAAAGGAAGCCTTCGTAGCCAAGATACAATGAAGTGGTAGATAAGGTAGGACCTGAGGTTACGAGGGTAGGGTCCAGATAATGTTGGACCTCCGAGACCATGATAAGGTCTTCAGATTTTAGCTGAAATGCAGTAATTGTTTTAAAATCCCTTCTACTTCTTTAAATACCAGCGTTCATCTCGGCAAACATTTACTGAACTTTCACGTCTTTTTTTTTTTTAAGAGACAAGGTCTTCGGGTCTTGCTCTGTCACCTGGAGTGTAGTGGCGCCATCACAGCTGACTGCAGCCTTGAACTCCTGGGCTCAATGGAGCCTCCCACCTTAGGCTTGCAAGTAGCTAGGACTACAGGCCTGTGGCATCACACCTGGCTAATTTTTTTTACACTTTATTTTTGTAGAGACAGGCTCTTGTTATGTTGTCCAGACTCTCTCACTTTTTTTTCTTTTTTTTTTTTTTTCCCTGAGGTGGAGTCTGGCTCTGTCTCCAAGGCTGGAGTGCAGTGGCATGATCCTGAGATCCTGGCTTACTGCAATCTCTGCCTCCAGGGCTCAAGTGATCTTCTCACCTCGGCCTCCTGAATAGCTGATACAGGTGCAGCGTGTGCCACGATGCCTGGCTAATTTTTGGTATTTTTGGTAGAGATGTGATTTCACCATGTTGATCTGCCTGCCTCAGCCTCCCAAAGTGCTAGGATTACAGGCATGAGCCACCACACCCTGCCTCTTTCATATATCTTCTAATTACACCTAACAGTAGCAAATATTAAAGAGGTTATTTGGGTAAGTCGACAGCACTCAGTGTCACTAATTTATGGCCCAAGAGAGAGCTCCTAAAATATGCCTGCCAATCGCACAAGTGTAAGAATGAATCCTCACAAATTGATCACCTAGCCTTAACCAATTTAAAATACATATCTTACTGACAGTAACGAGGAGCTGTCTTCGAATACCAAGTTCACTTTCAACAAAGCAAGATAGATCATTCTCATACTTTAAACCTAGATTTCATTCCTATAAAGTGAATTCTAATTAACTGATTGCTTTTCTCCATTCTATTAATTAAAAATTAATATTCAACTCCTAAACATAAAATCTACGGACACAAAACATTCTACGTTACTTTATTGCTTGAATCTTTTAAAACAAGAATTTTTCACATGCCACTACTATCTTTGGGTTTTCCAAGAGACAGAAATGGTTTAAAAATTTTTTGTGACATAAAATGTCACTCCTTGATAAAAGAACCTGTTACCTACTCAAAATTTTATCAAGTTAAAATTCCTTTCTACATTCCCAGCTTGATCTCCCATGGCCCTCCCTGCAGGCACTCTGTGCTCCTGCCAAACCGACTACTTGCCAGCCTCATACTTGTTCCCCCTACCTCAGCTTTATGATTCACATTCCCCAACAGGAGAAATCCAACCAGTTCTTCAAGGTCCACTCTCCCCTCTAGGTTTCTTCTCCAATTCTCTCCCTAGAGCAGAACCGATTCCTCACCTGTTACTCCAGTAGCACTTCTACAACTCAGACGTTGCCTTACCACATTCTATGTAACGCACAAGTACACGAAAGATAAATCTGTGTTTTATACAGAGATGATCCAACTACTTCCTTGTGTTTGCCCCCAGATATACAACTATTTGCAATTACTGAGTACACAGTTGAAAATAACATCCATTTTAGCACCATTTGGTACAATGTGGTAAACTCATGACAAAATGCAAGGTCAATGCCTGGCATGGTGGCTCACGCCTGTAATCCTAGCACCTAGCACTCTGAGAGGCCGAGGCAGGTGGATCACCTGAGGTCAGGGGTTTGAGACCAGCCTGGCCAACATGGTGAAACTCTGTCTCTACTCAAAATACAAAAATTAGCCATGCGTGGTGGCGGGTGCCTGTAGTCCCAGCTACTTGGGAGGCTGAGGCACAAGAATAGCTTGAATCTGGGAGGCGGAGGTTGCAGTGAGCTGAGATCACGCCAGCCTGGGTTACAAAGGGAGACTGTCTCAAAAAAAACAAAAAGGTCAAAACTTAAGGCCTCTCTGGGGACAATTAAGGCAGAGCTATCCGAGTCATCTTTCCTTCTTTCCAAATTTTCAACTACTGTATAATTCTTTAGTAACTACTTCTTAATGACACACTATTACTTATTCAAATGAAACTTCCACTTTCATTATCTATTCAAGAATCACTCAAGAATTCCTGTAACTCTATTTAAAATTTGTGAGTGATATGTGTTATCAAAAATGTATGGCTCTAAAGCCAGAGAACAGAGAAGCTGAAAAGTCTCATCACACAGCTAATCACAGAAACCAAAATATTATTCCATTCAGTATTCTATCCACTAGCTAACATGAAGAACCCAAACATCAGTAAATCCAAAAGCATCTGGTGGTGCTTGGTGTGTAGCAAATACACAAATATTTGAATTAATGAAGATGATTTAAAATACTTAGGCTTTTTCTTTTCTTTTGTTTTTTTAACAAGGTAAGCCTAACTAATCCTTAATCACGCAGATCACATTAACAAATTTACCGTGCTGGCCGGGCGCGGTGGCTCAAGCCTGTAATCCCAGCACTTTGGGAGGCCGAGACGGGCGGATCACGACGTCAGGAGATCGAGACCATCCTGGCTAACACGGTGAAACCCCGTCTCTACTAAAAAATACAAAAAACTAGCCGGGCGAGGTGGCGGGCGCCTGTAGTCCCAGCTACTCGGGAGGCTGAGGCAGAAGAATGGCGTAAACCTGGGAGGCAGAGCTTGCAGTGAGCTGAGATCCGGCCACTGCACTCCAGCCTGGGCGACAGAGCAAGACTCCGTCTCAAAAACAACAACAACAACAACAAAAAACAAATTTACTGTGCAGTTAAAGCTACAAAATAGTCTGGGAACACACATACTAACAACCAAAACATCTGCTCTCAGTAATTGCACTGACTAGAAACTCATCTACAAGAGTCACTTTTTCCTTCTTCGTTTGTTCCCAGAGGCCCAATAGACTAAACATTATAGCTCACCCTATTTTCTAATTTCAGCTTGCATTTAAGATAACGCTTTTGTTTCATTTACAGCTCACATGAGGCTGACACAGCTGCCCCTTCTTTGTAATAAACACAGCGCTTCTATATTTAAAAATACAGTGAAACGTTGTTTTAACATCCCCTCCCCAGTCTCCAGCCAGTTTTCTCTTTCCCAAGCCCCATCTCCACCCCAAGATGTGTTGTTGTTGTTTTTAATCGTTTTTTTTTTTTTAAATCAACGGCGCTCAAAATGTTAGACCCTTTAGAAAGTCTATTTACTTATTTAAAGCCATCTCATCATAGTGGTATTTTTCTTCTCCACAGCTCGTGGTGTTTATAAAGGGAAAGAAAAAAGATTCTCGTTCCCAAAGGCCTTTTTTCGAGTGTGCTTTCCGCGACCGCGACCAGCACCCCTAATGTCAAGTTGGGACGACCTCGCGGGCCGGCCTCGCGCTTGCACGGGCGCCGCGGGTGGAGACGCGAGCGCACACGCGGCGGAAAGGGGCGCCGGGCGGCTGCGCTGCCGGGAAAGCGCGCCCCCGGGGAGGGCGCGGAAAGCACAGTGTGTTCCGTGGGGCCTGGCAAATACCCTGTGGCCAGAGGACCACTAGAGGTATCGGCCGGGGCGCGGGCTCCGCGGCGCCCAGGGCAGGGGGCCAGCTCGTCCCGCATCGGAAAAGTCGCAAGGGCTGCCCAAGAGGGTGTGGGCCGCAGGGGGGCGCTGGGAGGAGATAACGCAAGGCCAGAGTTAATCATCACCTCCCGGGTGTCTGGAAAACTACGGGCCGGAGGGGCGGGGGAACAGCCCTGGGGAAAGTGAAACTCCCTCCGGGTCCACCAGCCCTGCGAGCCGGAGGCGGGAGGGAGAAGGACCCGGAGCGCATTCCCTTCTCCAGCAGGCACTGTGTGGCACTCGCCACTCCGAAAGCCGCAGCCCAGCTCCTGGCGCCACTAACTACAGTAATGCTCATTTTCTACAAACTCACCCAGACAGGGGGACAAGAAAGGAACCAGAACACAAGATTTAAAAAGTGAGCCCTCCAAACCGATAGTTTGAAAAAAAAAAAGGAAAAAGAGGAAAAAAGAAAAAAAAAAAAGGCAGCTTTCCCATACCGGGAGTCGAACCCGGGCCGCCTGGGTGAAAACCAGGAATCCTAACCGCTAGACCATATGGGAAGTGCTGCTGTGAGAAACTGCCTTGACCCACCTGACAAGCGTAAGCGCCTCTGCCTCCTTGGCCTCTGCTCGCCACCGCCGTGGCCGCCGCCGCCCACGCGCTCCCGGAGCTAGGGAACAAGCCCAGTCCGAGCGCGCGGGCGTCGCGGGGGAGAGGAGGGGCGGGGCGGGGCCGCTCCGCCAGAGCAAAGTTTGAGGCGAAGCCTAGTGACTCCGGCCCCGGACCCCGCAGTTTCACCTCTTTTTTTAAACTCCGCCAGAGGACCCTGACCCACAGGTCCCGGTTGTTCTGCTGGTCAAAGTGCCTGCGGACTAGTTGGCAAAGTTGAGAGCGGCGACTTCTCTGGGAACAGCTGTTTGCGTTCTGGGCGGAGGCGGCGCGCGAGCTCCTTGGCCTGGAGCCAGCGAGTCTAGAAGGAGGGTGGAGGTTCTGGGTCCCAGGGGAGGACACAGAGACGGCGGGATGGTGCAGGGGTTTGAGGCTTGAGATCCCGTCCTTCAGCTCAGGTCCCGTCGCGCTTTTGCCCCTTCCCGGTGACCTCAACCCCTTTATACCGACCCCACCTCTTTGGAGCCGGGAGTACCGCCCCTGTAGGGGGAGGGGAGAGGAGGCGATTTCGAACGCGGATTGGATCGTCTGGGCACCCGTAGTTGGGAACGGCGGAACGCTGGTCCCGGGGACTGAGGAAGGTGTCTGGGTAGGAGGGAGGTTCGGGTGGGCCTCGGGCGGCTGGGTGAGCCCGACTCGTCCCGCTGAGAAAGCGCGAGTCTGAGTGGAACCCTGGACGACTTGCAGAGCGACTGGCGCAGTCATGTGAGTTGGGTCTCAGGCCCTGAACAACGAGGTGTTGTTTCTCTGGGCGGCCCCTTCTCGCCCGGGTCTTCCCCTCCTCTCCTCCCGCCCTTCGGCCGGGGGCGTGACTGATGCGTTCTTAACTCGCTCGGGACCGGCCCCAGACCTGCAGGGCCGGTTCTCAGGGCGGGGTAGAAATGTTACCCCGCCGAGCGCCCTGGGGTATGGGGCACGGGCTCTAGGGGGAGGCCGGCGGCCGGTTCGGGGGCGGGTTGGACGGCCGCGGGTGAAGCGACGCAGTGCTCTCTCCACGACGCTGTCGGGGGTCGCACGCGCCCCTTTGGGCTCCGAAGCCCCTGAACCCTAGGGTATTGTGAAACTAGGGCTGGGCTGCGGCCTCCCCCGCCCACTGGAAGCGGCCAGCCCCGATAGCGTAATAATTTTTTTTTTGGTCGGCCGTCTACGAAGCCCCACGGCTTTTCCAATTCTCTCTTGCTTTGAGGCCCAAGAACAGTTTGTTTTAACTGATAGTCTCGGAGGAACTGCAGTCTTCCCCCAGAGTAGTCTTGTATGTTTTTCTTTTGGTGGGAATAACTTGATTTAAGGCAAACTTTATGAGTTTCCTCAGGTCTCCATTACATCAGCCTCCCCCAAAGCCAGAAAGGACAAATGTTGTCTAAGATGTTCCTTAGTTTTTCATAACGATGACGGTAACAAGTGAGGAATTTTTGAAAGCCATCTTATTGAAGGGAGTTTTGTAGTGAATTAGGTACAGACTTTTCCTGCTCTGGCAACAGAATTTCAAATGACTGCTCCAACCAGATAAACAATAAAAAACGGCTGTATATAACAATTCAAGATTCAGTAGCAGGGGCATGTATTTCAAAATTTTAAAAATGTAAAGCATGCAAAATTTTTACCTTTTTAAGTTTTATATGAGCTTAGCCTTGTTTTCTCCCTTTTTCAGGGCGGACTACTGGAAGTCACAGCCAAAGAAATTCTGTGATTACTGCAAGTGCTGGATAGCAGACAATAGGCCTGTATGATAATTCCGCTATTAGAGATTCTAGTAATAATTGTGTTGAATGAAGTACTTTTTTATGTAAACTCAGTTTACAAAGCACTTTTATGCACATTGCTCTTGCATTTTAAAAACATCAGAAGATTTCTGTTTTCTCAGTCCCCTATGAAAGCTGTGAGCCTTCTTCCTTTTCATCAACCTAACTTTGATTATGTATTAAGTGAAATTATTTCTCTGTGGCCTTTTGGGAAATAGGCAATGAGTAGGTCATCTCATTCATGTTTATGAAGCACCTACATTATAACGATAGTGTTCATAGTACTGTCATACACAAAGAATTGTGGAAAGCCTTTAAAATATAAAAGCAACATTTTAGTTTTTCTTGTATATTTTCTGCTCTAGAAATAATCAAGTGTATTTAATGCAGAGTTGTATATCTTTAGATGCTTAAATTTGAAAGAACACCATTGTTCCCTTTCTCGTGAAACAAAGTAACAACTCTGTTAGGTATGTTGTTAGTCTATCTCATAGTTGAGATCCGGTGTTGAAGACGTAAAGCAAAAAGCACACCACTGATTTTTCTCCCCTCTTGCCTGTCAAAATACTATGTACCTACCACATAAACACTAAGGTATCTGTTAAATGTATTTTATGTTGATACCCTTTTTACTTGGCAAAGTTGGATGCACAAAGAATAGTAGTCTCATATTTTAATGCTGTGGATTTCTTCTGTAGACGTTTATTTACTGTTATCTGCAAGGTGTTTAGGATTTGGATTTTTTTTGATATTTTGGTCTTTTTGGATAGTTGCTAAAGTTCTTGACTCTTTTATTTTACCTGGGCTATCGTTATAAATAAATACCATGAATTTTTAAAATCACACAAATCACTTAAAGTCTCTCTTTCTTGGAGGTACCTAGGCTGTAAAATGAATTTTGTGAATTATCTAGAGTAAGTAATCCCTTCCAGTGTAGGATTGATAATACACGTTGAATTGGTAATACACATTGATTTAACCTTTAATTAGTAACAAAGTTAATTTAATTTTGAATGGTCCTTTAATATTGTATTCTTTGTGTAGTGTAATCAACCTTAGGAAACCCAGTGTATGAAAAACAGGAGGATTATCTGCTTTACAAAGTCACACTTTAAAGATGAATTCACGGTAGTATTTTAGAATAGCTCAGTTAATGCATCATATAAGATTTGATTGACAGAACTTATTTTGCAGAGGTTGCCAGGAATTTCTTACTGCATTTAACTAGAAACTTGTAATTTAGGGAGCATTTCTGATTGTTTAAATAGATAATTGCGCTCACTCACCCGCCCCTGTCCGCAGTCATCCAGTTGCCATCACTCCCCATAGGTTATCATTTTTTTTTCATTTTCTTGCCTATCCTTCCATTGTTTCTACATGCATGTAGAGACAAGTTCTTCTTCCAGCATACATAAAAGGTAATGTACTGTATATATTGTTCTGAACTATAGTTTTTAAAAATTGAACAGTATGTGACTGGAGCTCTCTTTGTATCCATACATGAAGAGCTTCTTTTTCTCTGTTACTGTAGCCTATGAGAATGTACCATAGTTTAGCCAATCAGTTCCCTAGAGATGGATACTGTATTGTTATTGCAAACAGTGCTGCAGTCATTAAGCTTGTATATATCATGATTTTGTACATGTGCAGGTATATCTATAGAATAAATTACCAGAAATGAAATTGCTGTGTCAAAGGGTAAATGTATTTGTAGTCTTGATGTTGCCAAATTATCTTCCATAGAAGTTGTACATTTTGAACCATTACCACATTGTATAAAAGCGTTTGTTTATAATTTAGGAGGAATCTTAAAATATGTACTTTTCTCCTAATTTTGAGGAATAAAGCAATAAAATAATTGTTCTTTATGTCCCTCCTTACGACAAATAGAGCAATAAAATTCTAAAGGCTTTTGATGTTGAAAGTTGTTTAAAAATCATTTGGCTTCATGTCGTGTTTGAGTCCTCATTACAATCATAGTCACTAGATTAGTCATCAAGGATACCTTGTATTTTTCTCCATTAATAAAGTCATCATGGTTTATTTTAAGAACCAAAGGAAACCTAGTCAGAGGACATAATAATAAAACAATGTAGTTCCCTAGCATCATTTGATTAAAAGGGCCAGTTTGCATTAAATTAATGTTTTCATCTTTTCTGCCATTCATTTTAATTTTAATTTTCTCATGTTTATGAGAAAATTGTTTATGTTTACTATGAATTTTATGATGTTTATGTAGTTTTCTTTTGTATTTTCTCTTTTTTCATTTTCAAGAGTGTTGAATTTCATGAAAGAGGAAAGAATCATAAGGAAAATGTGGCAAAAAGGATCAGTGAGGTAATTTAGATTGTTTCTTTGCTAATTTTTCTATGCAAATGTCAGTCCTTTATCTCACTTTCACTGTTATGTATGTCTTACATAGATTAAACAGAAAAGCCTGGATAAGGCAAAGGAAGAAGAAAAGGCATCAAAGGAGTTTGCTGCAATGGAGGCAGCTGCCCTGAAAGCATACCAAGAGGATTTGAAAAGGCTTGGCTTAGAATCAGGTAAAAAAAAAAAAAAAAAGCAGCCAGCATGTTTTAAAAGTAACATCAGAGGTCATGCTAAGTAAGCTTTGATTGTTTCCATAAAGAGGTTATAAACTCAGTATACTCTCAGTGCTTTTATTATGCATCATAGCCCTGTTTAGACTATGGAAGTTTGTTCATGCCCTTTTGTTGTACTTTTAATGTTTTATCTTTTAACACCTTCATTCATAGCAGCCATACTACTTTGGTAATCCTAGCTCTATCGTAGGTAAGTGGTTCATTTTAGAGACACTTTGAGGTTTTTAGGTATTCTAGTTATTTGGCTAAAAGACACTATGCATTTAAAAAGAGGCCCTGCATTATAATTATAATTCACTGTGTCCATATGGTGAAAATTATGAGTCTTGTATATTTATATGGGTGATTATGTAATGAATTAACCTTTTGTGGACAATTTGCAGATTTTACTACTAGAAGGAAGTTCCAGGTGAAAGACATTATTTAACTAGACTGTGTCTATCTTGTCACTGAGTTTAGGCTTTAAACTGGGAAGGTTTTGTGAATAATTCTTCCATATCAAATCGATTTTCCTTAAGCCAAGCATATAGCAGATCTCAGGTGATCTTACGTACTAGTTGCAGTCATCAACATGTGATGGTATTCCTCTAATAAAAACAGCTTTCAATTAAGGTTTTAAGCAGAGTACCAGTTAAGTTAATTGGCATTGTGCTCATTAAATAAGAACAGTTGTAGCCAGACTTTAAAAATGTTATCCTGGACATTGGTAATTAAAAGGTGGGACAGTTGTTTGGTTCCTTGAGGATAAAGCCATATATGTTCATTTTGAAGGGAAAAAGGATTTAGGCATTTCTGGAGAATTAGGAGTAGGTGAAAAGTCCAACTATTATCAATTATATACATTGAGAGATTCCATTATGCTGCCCTTTGAGCAAATAAATTTTACCATTTTATATTTAAATGGATTTTTCCTATTAAATATTATCATTGCCTTGTTTTTCCAAATAGGATATATATTCCTTTAAACATACAAAAATGCAGTACAAAGAAAAGAGATTTTGAAAACTCACTAACTGTTAAGACCTTTTGCAGACCTCTTCTTTTTTTTTTTTTTTTTTTTTTTTTGAGACAGAGTTTCGCGCTTTTTGCCCAGGATGGAGTGCAATGGCGCAATCTCGGCTCACCGCAACCTCCGCCTCCCGGGTTCAAGCAATTCTCCTGCCTCAGCCTCCCGAGTAGCTGGGATTACAGGCATGTGCCACCACCCCAGCTAATTCTGTATTTTTAGTAGAGACGGGGTTTCTCCATGTTGGTCAGGCTGGTCTTGAACTCCCGACCCCAGGTGATCCACCTGCCTCGGCCTCCCAAAGTGCTGGGATTACAAGCGTGAGCCACCGCGCCCGGCTGCAGACCTCTTCTTTAGATCTTTTTTAAAATTACATATTTTGTGCTGTGGTCTATTTGCCGGTTTTATTTTTTCTCTCGATATATCAAATGTGTCTTTTCTTTTAAATAATTAGGAAGATAATATCATTTTTATATGATAGGAGCAGACTTTGGAGTCAAACAATTTCCTCTTGCTAGTTATAATTTTAGATTATTAAAACTAAGTGACATTATGGTATAAATTGCTTATTATGTGACCACACATAACAAATGTTGAATAAATGGTAGCCACTGTTATTTTGTCTCTGTACTATAATTTATTTAATCTTTTCCTGGTTAACATTTAGGTTGCTTAGCGTTTTTCACTAAGATGCATTAAGCATCTTTATGCATGTATCTTTTTACACTTATTTGTCTCTGTAGATTCAGTTTCTAGAAGTTACATTACAGTATCAAAGTGTAAATATATTTTATATTGATAGTTAATACCACATTGTCTCCAGAAATGGACTGATTTACTTTTTCACTAGAACAAAAATAAGTTTATTAACCCGTTTTAGGAGTAACTAGCCAATCCTTTGGAAAGTAAAGACATTAAGAACTATTTTTCTCTCTTTTTTTTTGAAGACAGGTCTCGCTCTGTCACCTGGCTGGAGTGCACAATCATGGCTCACTGTAGCCTTGACCTCCCCGGCTTCAGTGGTCCTTCCACCTCAGCTCACCACCAGTCCCAGCTATTTTTTGGTGGAGACAGGGTCTTGCCATGTTGCCCAGGCTGATCTGGAACTCCTGGCCTCGAGCAGTCCACCTGCCTGGGCTTCCCAAAGTGCTGGGATTACAAGTGTGAGCCACTGTCCCCCACCAAAACTACCCATTTTTTCAAACCAATGTAAATAGCTGATCCATCAAACTAATACTGGATTTGGTCATCCTTTTCAGTACTTACTGTCAAAACAACAGAAAAACATTTCTTTGAATATTAGCAAAAGTAAATGTTAATTGGCTGGGTGCTGTGGCTCATGCCTGTAATCCCAGCAGTTTAGGAGGCCAGAGTGGGAGGATTGCTTGAGCCCAGGAGTTCAAGACCAACCTAGCAAGATGGTGAGACCCCACCTCTACTACGATATAAAAATAAAAAATTAACTGGGCGTGGTGGTACGCACCTGTAGTCCCAGCTACTTGGGATGCTAAAGTGGGAGGATTGCTTGAGCTGAGGAGTTCAAGGCTACTATTGTGGGCTTTGATTGCGCCACTGCACTCCAGCCTGGACAACATAAGAAAAAAAAAAGTAAAAGTTATCTGAATTGTCTTTGTAATTGTTGTCCATTTTTCTATTAGAATGTTTGATTCATAAAGGATCTTTGTTAGGAATATTAACCCCTTGCTATATTTATGGTAAATATTTCTTCATTTGTTTTATATTTTTTTTATTTTTGTCATACAGAATATCTTAATTTTTATGTAGTCAAATTTAACATTATTTTACTTTGTGTTCTTTTTGTAACTATCTTTGACCTAGTATTTAATAAAAAAGGGGGAAGAGAGCAGGGAGTGGGAAACAGCTTTGCTTTTTTCCCAAATAATTAACCAGTTAATCTAAAAACTTTCTTTTTAAACATGCTTTCTTTATTTCTATTTTTATTATTTTATTTTTATAGATTTAGGGGGAACAAGTGTAGATTTCTCATATGCATATATTGCATAGTGATGGAATCTGGACTTTTAGTATACCCATCGCCCGAATAGTGAACATTCTACCCAATAGGTAATTTGAAAACCTCTTTTTTTAAATGATCTGTCTTTTATCCTCTTGATATGAAATACCAGCCAACCTGAAGTTGGCCCTGTATCTGGACTATTCTGTTTCAATTATGTGCTTGCCTATTTCTATGTCAGTTCCACACTGCTGGCTGTATTTTTAACCCATAGTTTTAGAATAAGTTTTAATAGCTGGTAGAACTAAATTCTCCTTTTTCTTTTTATTACAATTTTCCTGCCCTTACATGTTTATTTTTCCGAATGAACTTTATAATAATGTGTCAAGTTCTCAAAAGAATCTTAGGTTTTTGATTGAAATAACGTTAATGTTTTATGCCAACAACAATAAAAAATAGTAGTTAACTATGGCTGCTTTACCCTTCTCTCATCTCTTTAGAAATTTTGGAGCCAAGCATAACACCAATAACCAGCACTATCCCACCCACCTCTACATCAAATCAACAGAAAGAAAAGAAAGAAAAGAAAAGAAAAAAAGATCCTTCAAAGGGCAGATGGGTAGAAGGCATAACCTCTGAGGGTTACCACTACTATTATGATCTTATCTCAGGAGGTAAGTCATTTAGGCATAAAACTGGTAAAGAACAGTGTCACTAGTAGAATAGAACAATTTATTTTATGTTAGGATTTGTATCTAATATTGGAACATTTTTCATTTTTGCCCCAAAGGTAAGAAAATTATGTGCCCTTTAAAAAGGTACCTTTCTCATAGTGACTAAGTGTCATACTTAGTCAAAGTCTTTAATAATGACTTTCTTACAAATAAACTATAGCTTTATATTTTCTCAGTAGTAACTTCTGTAAGTATAAACTACATGGAAATAAAGAATTTTGCGTAGAAATAAGGAATTTGAAATCCACTTCACAAATTGTAGGGGTACTTGAAATAAAATATTCTACAGTAGAGATTTTCTTTTGGGAGCCAGTAACTGATTTCTTTTTTGTGTAGCTGCCTTAATTGATTTGATATTATTACTGAAAAATGGCATTGTATATTTTATTGGAAATTGATACCCAACAGAAAAATACACAGTGCCAAGGCCGGGTGTGGTGACTCATGCCTGTGATCCTAGCACTTTGTGGGGCCAAGGCGGGTGGATCACTTGAGGTCAGGAGTTCAAGACCAGCCTGACCAACATGGTGAAACCCCGTCTACTAAAAATACAAAATTAGGCCAGGCGCAGTGGCTCACACCTGTAATCCCAGCACTTTGGGAGGCTGAGACGGGCAGATCACGAGGTCAGGAGATCGAGACCATCCTAGCTAACGTGGTGAAATCCTATCTCTACTAAAGATACAAAAACTTAGCCGGGCGTGGTGGCGGGTGCCTGTAGTCCCACCTACATGGGAGACTGAGGCAGGAGAATGGTGTGAACCCGGAAGGTGGAGCTTGCAGTGAGCTGAGATTGGGCCACTGAACCCAGGAGGCGGAGCTTGCAGTGAGCGGAGATTGGGCCACTGTACTCCATCCACAGAGCGAGACTCCCTCTCAAAAAAAAAAAAAAAAATTAGCCGAGCGTGATAGTGCATGCCTGTAATCCCAGATACTTGGGAGGCTGAGGGAGGAGAATCGATTGAACCCGGAAGGTGGAGGTTGCAGTGAGCCAAGATCACACCATTTCACTCCTGTCTGGGCAACAAGAGTGAAAGTCCATCTCAAAAAAAAAAAAAGAAAAGAAAAAAAAAAATACACAGTGTCATTTTACAGTAACAATATCAAAAGCATCTTTTTGTTTTTCCTAAAAACTAAATGTATTTGGGGTTTTTACTCCATATATATTTTGGAATGAATTAATACACTTATTCTACATTTATGTAGCATCTTACTCTCCAGAGTCATAAAATTTAGTGACAGAAACAAGCTTGATACAAGGAGGAATTTTAAAGTGCTGTAATAGAAGTGTAATTAAGATTATATGGGAACTCATAATAATGTTGAATTCATTGTGATTATGTAGCTTTGAGAGATTATCATAGGAGTTACTTTAGAGCTGATCTCTAAATTAAGATAAGGACGTCAGGAATGATGCCTTACTCACCATTTTATCCCTAGCACCTAACTTAGTGCCTGGCATAGTGCAGACACTCTGTGTTTTGATGAAAGAAGACTTCAGTAGATTATTCAGAGGTACAGAATCCAGACAGAACAATATGAACCGCAAAAAAGGTTTGAAAGTACTGGGAAATAGTGGTCGAGGTAAAACATGCAGTTGTTTGAAGACATCTTAGTAGAGTTAGACTGGAAGGTAAACTGGGGCCATATTATGGAGGGCTGAGAGAATGATGGCGCCATTTACTTAGATATGAGATACAGGAACCAAAAATAAGTTTAATGGGGACAGTAATGAATTAGATATGTTGGATATGTTGAATTTGAGGTACCTACAGAATATTCATATGACAACTTTTGGTAGCTGATTGATGGTTACAGTGTGGAGTTGAGCAAAATTGAGTCTGGGGATGTAGACAATATGTTAACCTTTAGGAGTATATGAGATCACAAGCAGAGAGAATAGAGCAAGAAGTAAAGAAGGTGAGTGTTACATATATTAAAGGAATGGATAGAAGAAAAGCCAGCAAAAGAAGGTTAAGCATGCTAGGAAGGTAGGAAATAAGATCAGAGAGTTAATCATGAAGAAATCCTTGGGCTAACAATCTTACTGTAATGACTATTATCATTAGGATCATAATTACCTTTGGACTATGTAGAAATATTAATCTGTTAGAGTTTGCACTGAGCTTTAAGTGACATGCATATTGTAGTTTAGCCATGAAGATACCATAAATGATGATGTACTAGCTATTAGAAGTCTTTGTCAAATTCCCTTAGAAACTATTCTTTCTTTTCTCCCTTCAATGTTTATTGCTTGCTTCTTTTTTTCAAATGCTACTTTATATTCTCTTCCTCTCCATGATACATGTTTTTAATTTCTGCATACTCGTTGTTCCTCTTCTGAGTCCTTACTCAATTTATCTCTTAATCTCCCTTGCCCCAAGATATCAAAAGGCCTTTGAAACTTATAAACCTGAATTCTATGAAACCTTTATGAGAAGCCCTGCCTGGCTCTAAAATTCCTGTGGAAGTTCCAGTAACTTCTAATCCCTTGTTCTGTCCTTTATTCTTGGTTACATAGCATTCACATAGATTCTCTGTACTGGGGTGTATGTTCTGTTTTATTTTTCAAATATGTTTTAAACTGTAGACCTGTAGTGTTTTGTACATAATGACTGTAAGTTTTGTCCAAATTTTTTGGAAAGTATTTTTTTAAAGCAAAAACATTTTATAAATGCAATATATTTTGCTTTAAGCATCTCAGTGGGAGAAACCTGAAGGATTTCAAGGAAACTTAAAAAAGGTAACTGAAGCATATTAATAGTGTTTTTGTTTTATTCTTTAAAGTGATTTGTTTCTTGGGGTTTTGTAGAGGTTTGTTAAAGCAACTTTACTTACAAATACTCCATTCCCTCCACCCCGAAACTGTGTCCTTATTTTTTCCCATAATGCTTTTGTTAGAAGGTTGAATGGAGATGAAATAGTGGTATCTGGCCGGGCGCAGTGGCTCACACCTGTAATCCCAGCACTTTGGGGGGCTGAGGCGGGTGGATCACGAGGTCAGGAGTTAAAGACCAGCCTGACCAAGATGGTGAAACCCCATCTCTACTAAAAACTACAAAAAAATTAGCCAGGCGAGGTGGCAGGTGCCTATCATCCCAGCTACTCAGAAGGCTGAGGCAGGGGAATCGGCTGGACCCGGGGCGGCAGAGGTTACAGTGAGCCGAGATCCCACCAGTGCACTCCAGCCTGGATAACAAAGTAAGACTCTGCCTCAAAAAAAAAAAAGTACTGATATCTATCCAAAAACAGCATTCAGGGCAAATATTAGTTCGTTTGCAGTCAGTTGCCATTCACATGTCGCTGTCCATTTGGAAAGAACTGTTCCTGGCTTTCAAAGGTGAGACATTCACTCCTTGAAAGTTGGTTCATTATTAGCAAAAACCAAGCTTCCTGGCCATGATTAGTACTACCACCCCTAATACCCAGGTATATTAGTTCTTGCATTGCTATAAAGAAATACTTCCGAAACTAGGTAATTTATCAAGAAAAGAGGTTTGACTCACAGTTAAACGCAGGCTATACAGGAGGCTTGGTGGCATAAGCTTCTGCAGAAACTTCAGGAAACTTAAAATCATAGCAGAAGGCTAAGGGAAAACAGTCACATCTTACGTGGCCAGACCAAGGGAGCAAGGGGTTAGCCAGGAGGTGCCACACACTTTTCAATGACCAGATCTCAGGGGAACTTGCTCACTATTTCGACAGCAGCACCAAAGATGGATGGTGTTGAAACCATGAGAAACCACCCCTGTGATGCAGTCATCTCCCACAAGGCCCCATCTCCAACATGGAGGATTATAATTCTATATGAGATTTGGGTGGGGATGCAGATCGAGATATCACCAGGTGTCAGGAGGAGAGGCAAGGGTGGCCGACTCTGTCTGAGTTATTCAGTAGAAATTCATCATGGTTATCGTCAGTTTATGCTGGGTTTTTCCCTCCTATTAGACAGCAGTGAAGACCGTTTGGGTAGAAGGTTTAAGTGAAGATGGTTTTACCTACTATTATAATACAGAAACAGGAGGTGAGTATTACCTTTGATTATCTTAAGTATTTAAAATTGTACCTGGAACTGCTTATTGGCCTGCTGATTAATCATCTGAACTTGGAAATTTTAGTATATGATAAACATATTTGTATAGCAAACATGAGTTATTTTTTGTAAATTAAAAATAATACAGTAGAAAAGCAAAAAGATTTCTATTCATGTTATATTGTGCTGTTCACCAATGTTATTCTTAGTTGATACTGCATTCACAAACTTAAAAATAGAATCATTTTAGCTTTCTCTGATACTACTATTTTTATAATTATTTTAGAAATACAGTCATTACAGCCAGGCGCGGTGGCTCAAGCCTGTAATCCCAGCACTTTGGGAGGCCGAGATGGGCGGATCACGAGGTCAGGAGATTGAGACCATCCTGGCGAACACGGTGAAACCCTGTCTCTACTAAAAAAAAAAATACAAAAAACTAGCCGGGTGCGGTGGCGGCGCCTGTAGTCCCAGATACTTGGGAGGCTGAGGCAGGAGAATGGCGTGAACCCGGGAGGCGGAGCTTGCAGTGAGCCGAGATCGAGCCACTGCACTCCAGCTGGGGGACAGAGCGAGACTCCGTCTCAAAAAAAAAAAAAAAGACATACAGTCATTACCTTGGAAAGTAGCTTAGAGATCATCTAGCCCAACTTGCCTTTTCCTTTTAAAAAATAAAACTGTGGCTGGGCACAGTGGCGCATGCCTGTAATCCCAGCACTTTGGGAGGCTGAGACAGGTGGATCACCTGAGGTCAGGAGTTAAGCAACCAACTTGACTAACATGGTGAAACCCCGTCTCTATTAAATACAAAGAAATTAGCCGAGTGTGGTGGCGCTTACCTGTAATCTGAGCTACTTGGGAGGCTGAGACAGGAGAATCTTGTACCTGGGAAGTGGAGGTTGCAGTGAGCCGAGATCGCACCATTGTACTCCAGCCTGGGCAACAAGAGCAAAACTCAATCTCAAAAACAAAAAAAAAAGTAGGCCGGGTGCAGTGACTCACGCCTATAAGCCCAGCACTTTGGAAGGCCAAGGCGGGCGGATCACCTGAGGTCAGGAGTTCGAGACCAGCCTGACCAACATGGTGAAACCCCTCCTCCAGTAAAAAATTACCCAGGCATGGTGGCGGGCACCTGTAGTCCCAGCTACTTGGGAGGCTGAGGCAGAGAATCGCTTGAACCCAGGAGGCAGAGGTTGCAGTGAGCCAAGATTGCACCACTGCACTCCAGCTTAGGTGACAGAGCAAGACTGTCTCAAAATAAAATAAAAAATAAAACAATCTATTTAGTAGTGTCTAACAAATTAGTAAAAGTGAAAATTTAAAAATGTGTCAGTTGCATAAATACTTATGAAGCATGCATAAATACTAATTGTTATCTAAAACTTTAAAATTAATGTTTAATTTAACATAAACTGCTATAACATTAATGTGACTTTAGGAGAGGTTTGTTTTTGTTTTTTTAATTCTGTTATCATTAGCTCATTAGCTCATTGCATAGCATTAAATCTTTTAGGAAGAAAAGGCCCTTTTAACCTCCAAGTAGATATTTAACCTGCCCAGTTACAGCAATGTTTATATTCCAGTACAATTGAAGGTTGGGATTTTTATACATATAAAATAGTATAGTGATATAATGTAGCTTTAGAGTTAGACAGATCTGAGTTCAATGCACAGCTTCTTTTCTTACCAGTGATATGACTGTGGGCAAGTCACTGAGCCTATAGTCACTCCTCAGTGAAATGGAATAAACATATGTGCTCTGTAAGGTCATGAATGTCGTATGTCATAAAATTCCATGAATGTTATATGTCATAAAATTCCAATAACAGTGCTTGGCACATAGTAGGTGCTTAATAAATTACTTGTTGAACTGGCGCGGCAGCTCACACTTGTAGTCCCAGACCTTTGGGAAGTCGAGGCAGGCAGATCAGTTGAGGTCAGGAACTCACGACCAGCCTGGGCAACATGGTGAAATCCCGTCTCTACTAAAAATACAAAAATTAGTTGGGCATGGTGGCACTTGCGTGTGATCCCAGCTACTCAGGAGGCTGAAGCAGGAGAATCGCTTGAATCTTGGAGGTGGAGGTTGTACTGAACTGAGATCACGCCAAGTAAATAAGTAAAAATAAAATAATTTCTTGAAAGTCATATTGTTACTTGTGTGAAATGTGGATAAGAAAAAGTAATGTTTTTCATTAACCCTGCCAAGAACTCTGTATTAATTAAGGTACCATATATATTGATTTGCCTTGAATGATTACAGTTTATTCCTGGACCAGAATAATTATTAACGGCAGCCCCTTTCACTCTTAAGACTCTCCCAGTTGAAAATAGGTAATTAATTACAAGGTAATTAGAAATATTACTGTTTGCTAAAAACCCAATGAACCACTGGATGGCAGTAGAGTTAGTCAATTGAAATTCCCACTGCTGCCCCACCACCACCAAACCACCATATAAAAATGAGAACTTAATACTCAGTGCTTCACAATATAATTTCACTCGATGAAAATCTTAGGAATTTTTTTTTTTTTTTTAATTGAGACAGGGTCTTGCTCTGTCGCCCAGGCTGGAGTGCAGTGACATGATCATGATTCACTGCAGCCTCTATTTCCTGGGCTCAAGCAGTCTTCCCACCTCAGCCTCCTGAGTAGCGGGGACTGCAGGAACATGGCATGATGCCTGCTAACTTTTTAATTTTTTTTAGAGACAGGGTCTCGCTATGTTGCCCAGGCTGGTCTCAAACTTCTGGGTTCAAGCAATCCTCCTACCTCGTCTTTTCAAAGTGTTGGGATTACAGGCATAAGCCACCACGCTGGGGCCAGGAAAAGAAATCTCTGTGATAAGTAAGTTTCAGGAAATCTCTTGTTTGCTCATTATCAGTATGTTTCCTGAAATTGGTGTCAGATAAATTGTGAACCGTTAGAAATCTCACCCCGTTCTTAGGTCTCTCATTCCATTGGAGTTATAGTTTATACATCTAGTAAATCCAGGCTGTTTGAAGTCAATTTCTGAAAGATACAAGAGCAAGAGGTTTGGGAACTATTATCTTCTTGTTCAAGAGATAATATGAAATTAACATACAGTATTGTCATTTAATAGTGTAAGTGATAACGGTTATGTTGAAATTACATCTGAATAGAATTAATAACTAAATAACCTGACTTTAAAATGTGTTGAACAGAATCCAGATGGGAGAAACCTGATGATTTCATTCCACACACTAGTGATCTGACTTCTAGTAAGGTCAATGAAAATTCACTTGGCACCCTAGATGAATCCAAATCATCAGATTCGCATAGTGATTCTGATGGGGAACAGGAAGCAGAAGAAGGAGAGGTCTCTACAGAGACGCAAAAACCAAAAATAAAGTTTAAGGTAGGTTTTTTATTTTTACTCTTCACATCAAATTTTTTTTTTTTTTTGAGATGGAGTCTTGCTCTGTCGCCCAGGCTGGAGTATCTCGGCTCACTGCAACCTCCACCTCCCGGGTTCAAGTGATTCTCCTGCCTCAGCCTCCCGAGTAGCTGGGACTACAGGCGCGTGCCACCACACCCAGCTAATTTTTTGTATTGTTAGTAGACACAAGGTTTCACCGTGTTAATAACCAGGATGGTCTCAATCTCCTGACCTCATGATCTACTCGCCTCAGCCTCCCAAAGTGCTGGGATTACAGGCATGAGCCACCACACCCAGCTGATACCAATTTTTGAAAAGCTCTACAGACCTTAAGTCTTCTGATAGAACGTAGAAAGTAAGACATATTTTGTCAAGTGGATAAATAAAACTGGAAACACTTAGGAGCCCATGAGTCAAAGCAGAGAAGACACATTATTAGCATTGAGCAATGGTTGCAATTGTTGGCCTGAGAAATGTAGGAAAATTGAAAAGTTCCTACATACCTAAGCTACACCTAGGATCTTGTCATTGCCTACAGTTTCTCTACCAACTTCACAAATCTTGATGGAACTTAGAGTAAGGGTTATGTCCAGTTTACAGAGGAGCAGCAGCAAAGCCTTCGTTGTAGTTGCCATCTCACAATGATTATAGCCAGCCAGATTTAGGTAATCTGGTATCCAACTTAGGATAGAAATAATTAATTTCTGTCATCAAAATTAATGTATTCCAACAACAACAACAAAAAATACAGAACCCTGCTGAACATAGTTGCAAAAATCTTCCGCAAAATATTGGCAAACTGAATCTAACAGTACATCAGAAAGATTAATACACTATGATAAAGGGATGCTTTATTCCAGGGATGAAAGGATGGTTCAAAGTATGCAAATCAATAAATGTGATTTACCATATAAACAGAATTAAAAACAACCATATAATCAGCTCAATAGATAAAAAGCATTTATTAAAATTCAGCATCCTTTCATGATAAAAACCTTCAGCAAACTAGGCACAGAAGGAACATACCTTATAATAATGAAATAATAAAAGCCATATATGAGGCCAGACACTGTGGCTTATGCCTGTAATCCCAGCACTTTGGGAGGCTGAGGCAGGAGAATCGATTGAATCTGGGAGGCGGAGTTTGCAGTGAGCTGAGATCGTGCCACTACACTCCGTCCTGGGTGACAGACCGAGACTCTGTCTCAAAAAAAAAAGAAGCTGTATATGATAAACACACAGCCAATGTTATACTGAATGGAGAAGCATTGAAAGTATTCTTCTTAAGAACTGAAACAAAGCAAGGATGCTCACTTTAACCACTCCTTTTCGACATAATATTGGAAGTCCTAACCTGAGCAGTCAGGCAAGAGAAAGAAAGAAAAGGCATCCAAATTGGGAAAGAGGACGTCAGACTGTCTCTGTTTGCTGATTAAATGATCTTAGTACCTAGAAAACCCTAAAGAGCTCTCCAGAACACACCTGGATTTGTTAAGTGACTTCAGTCATGTTTCAGGATACAAAATCACTGTACAAAAATCAGTAGTATTTGTATATACCTGTATCTATACAATAATGGTAAAACTGAGAACCAAATAAAAAACTCAATCCCATTTGTGATAACTACAAAAAGAAAAAAAATCTAAAAATCTAGGAATACATTTAACCTAGGAAGTGAAAGATCACTACAAAGTGAACTACAAAACACTGATTGAAGAAATCATAGATGATACACACAAATGAAAAAATACCTCATGCTTATGGGTTGGAAGAATCAATATCACTAAAATTACATACTGGCCAAACTAATCTATAGATTCAACACAATCCCTATCAAGTTACCAACTTCATTTTTCACAGAATTAGAAAAGCCAATTCTAAAATTCATGTGGAACCAAAAAAGAGTCTCAATAACCATAGCAGTCCTAAGCAAAAAGAACAAAGGTGGAGGCATCACATTACTAGACCTCAGACTATACTCCAAGACTTTCATAACCAAAACGGCACAGTACTGGTATAAAGATAGACACAGATTGATGGAACAGAATAGAGAACCCGAAATAAAGCCACATACCTACAACCAGCTGATCTTCAACAAAGTCAACAAAAATATACACTGCGGAAGGGATACCCCATTCAATAAATGATGCCGGGAAAACTGGCCAGTCATATGCAGAAGAATGAAACAGGACCCCTACCTCTCACCATGTACGAAAGTTAAGATAGATTAAAGACTTAAATGTTTAAAGATCTGAAACTATAAAAACCCTAGAAGGAGGCCAGGCATGGTGGCTCACGCCTGTAATCCCAGCACTTCGAGAGGCTGAGGTGAGCAGATAACCTGAGGTCGAGAGTTCAAGACCAGCCTGACCAACATGGAGAAACCCCATCTCTACTAAAAATAGAAAATTAGCTGGGCATCCTGGCACATGACTGTAATCCCAGCTACTCGAGAGGCTGAGTCAGGAGAATCGCTTGAACCCAGGAGGTGGAGGTTGCAGTGAGCTAAGATCGTGCCATTGCACTCCATCCTGGGCAACAAGAGTGAAACTCTGTCTCAAAAAAAAAAAAAATTCTAGAAGGAAATCTAGGAAAAACTAATCTGGTCATTGCCCTAAGCAAAGAATTTATGACAAAAGTCTTCAAAAGTAAACACAAAAACAGAAATAGACAAATGGGAGGGACTTAATTAAATTAAAAAGCTTATGCACAGCAAAAGAAACAATTAACAGAGTGAATAAATAGCCCACATATTGGGAAAAACTATTTGCAAACTATGCATCCAACGGACTAATATCCAGAATCCGCAAGGGACTCAACAAGAAAACTCCATTGAAAAGGGGGAAAAGGACATGAACAGGCATTTTTCAAAAGACACACAGATGGCCAAAACACGTGAATAATGCCCAATATCACTGATCGTCAGAGAAATGCAAATGAAAATCACAATGAGATACCATCTTATACCAGTCAGAAGGCTGTAATCAAAAAGTCAGAAAATGTCTGGATGCAGTGGCTCATGCCTGTAATCCCAACACTTTGGGAGGCTAAGGCTGTCAGATCATTTGAGATCAGGAGTTCAAGACCAGCCTAATCAACATGGTGAAATTTCTTTTACTAAAAATGCAAAAGAAATTAGCCGAGTTTGGTGGCGCATGCCAGGAGAATTGCTTGAACCTGGGAGGCGGAGGTTGCAGTAAGCCAAGATCATGCCGTTGCACTCCAGCCTGGGTGACAGAGCGAGACTCTATCTCAAAAAAAAAAAGAAAAAAGAAAACAGATACTGGCAAGGATGCAGAGAAAAGGAAAGACTTATACACTGTTACTGGGAATGTATGTTAGTATAACCTTTATAGAAAACATTTCTCAGAGAACTAGAAGCAGAACTGTTATTCAATCCAGCAGTCCCACTTCTGAGTATCTACCCAGAGGAAAAGAAATCATTAAATAAAAAAAGACACCTGCACTCATGTTTGTGGCAGCATTGTTCACAATAGCAAAATGTTGAAATCTATGTAAGTGTCCATCAGTGGAGAATTGGATAAAAAAAAGTGTGTGTGTATATATATATACACACACACAAACACACCATGGAATACTACTCAGCCATAAAAAATGAAATGATAGCTTTTGCAGCTATGTGAATGGAACTGGAGGCCATTAATCTAAGTGAAATAACTGAAAGTCAAATACTACATGTTCTCACTTACAAGTGGGAGCTAAACAGTGGGCACACATGGACATACAGAATGGACTAATAGATAGTGGAGACCATAAAACGTGGGAGGGTGAGAGGGAGTTGAGTTGAAATCTATCTATTGGGATTGTTCACTATTCAGATGATAGACACACTAAAAGCCCAGACTTCACCATGACATATACATGTAAGAAATCTGCATTTGTACCCCCTAATTATTTTGAAAAAGGTAAATTATACAAAAAGGGAAAAAATTACGAAATACAGATAGGCAAGGACAAACTCCCTATACTCTTGCCACCTCCCAGAAAAATTCAACAGAGGCACAATTATAAAGGGAGTCACTGTTGGATATGCAAGTAAAGTAAGAAAGCAGAAAAGAGAAGTTAAGAGAACCCTGTTTATATGTCCTTAATTGTAGAATTTAAGACATTAAGGTGATGATTTAGGGAGCCTTTGTCATAGTATACCAACATTTCAGACATGGAAAACCTAATCAAGCAGTAAAGTTCTATGTATATTTATTGTGTTATGTGCAAATTTAAATTGTGTTAGTGAATTATTTATAAATCTATAACAATACCTTTAAAAGCCTTAGTTAAAGTAATTTTATTTTCATCCTGGTAGTTTTGCTTGAACTGTATTATTTCTTGGCTTTTACATTTCAGGAAAAAAATAAAAATAATGATGGAGGAAGTGACCCAGAAACACAGAAAGAAAAAAGTATTCAGAAACAGAATCCATTAGTTTCAAATGAAGAAAAATCCAAAACTTTTAAGAAATCAAACCCATATGGAGAATGGCAAGAAATTAAACAAGAGGTTGAGTCTCAGTAAGTACCTGGAGCTTTAATCTCACTGTTATTACAAGTGATTTTACATCCCAGTACTTCCCTAAATTGCAGTAAGTAATTTCAAGGATGCTGTGCTTATTAAAAGTATAGCTTGAGGCCAGGTGTGGTGGCTCACGCCTGTAATCCCAGCACTTTGGGAGGCTGAGGTGGGTGGATCACAAGGTCAAGAGATGAGATCATCCTGGCCAACATGGTGGAACCCTGTCTCTACTAAAAATAGAAAAATTAACTGGGTGTGGTGGCATGTAGCTGTGATCCCAGCTACTCAGGAGGTGGAGGCAGGAGAATCGCTTGAACCCAGGAGGTGGAGGTTGCAGTGAGCTGAGATTGCGCCAGTAGACTCCAGGCTGGCAGCAGAGCAAGACTCCGTCTCAAAAAAGAAAAAAAAAGTATAGCTTGGCCGGGTGAGGTGACTCACATCTGTAATCCCAGCACTTCAGGAGGCCAAGGCAAACAGATCACCTGAGGTCAGGAGTTCGAGACCAGCCTGGCCAACATGGCAAAACTTTCTCTCTACCGAAAAAAAAAAAAAAACTTAGCAGGGAATAGCGGCACACATTGTGTTCCCAGCTACTTGAGAGGCTGAGGTGGGAGGATCACTTGAGCCCAGGAGGTTGAGACTACAGTGAGCCATGTTCACACCACTACACTCCAGCCTGGGCAACAGAGTAGGACCTTGTCTCAGAAAAAAAAAAAAAACCACAGCCGGGTACGGTGGCTCAAGCCTGTAATCCCAGCACTTTGGGAGGCCGAGACGGGCGGATCACAAGGTCAGGAGATCGAGACCATCCTGGCTAACATGGTGAAACCCCGTCTCTACTAAAAAAATTAAAAAGAAAAACTAGGCGGGCACCTGTAGTCCCAGCTACTCCGGAGGCTGAGGCAGCGTAAACGCAGAAGGCAGAGCTTGCAGTGAGCTGAGATCTGGCCACTGCACTCCAGCCCAGGCGACAGAGCGAGTCTCCGTCTCAAAAAAAAAAAAAAAATTGTAAAAAGTAAATAGATAAACAAATATTGCAGCAACTCAAGTATTACTCAGCAAAGTACATTTCTATAGGATTCAGTGTTGCTATTTAGTTTTATAACTTAAAACAGCCTATGATAACTGATAGCAAAGAAGGTCCTTGATGGCCAGGCAGGTGCAGTGGCCCACACCTATAATCCCAGTACCTTAGGAGGCTAAGGCAGGAGGTTCACTTGAGCCCAGGAGTTGGAGGCACTACTGCACTCCAGCCTGGGAGACAGAGCAAGACCCTGTCTTAAAAAGAAAAAATCCTCGGAATAGACTGCCTTCTGCAGAGCTCCATTCTCCAAATAGGATGATATGTGTTTTTCAACAGGTTTTATGCTCTCAGCTACTTAGAGTTAAACATAACGATCTATCTGGTCCATGTTCCAAAATCTCATAGATGAGACTGATGGGTGTGATGTGACTAACTTGCTCTTTCACGGACCAGTTGACTATCTAGGGAGTACAGTACTGTGATAGGCTCTTTTTAATCAGGTACTGATATCAGGACCACTCAACTGATTATTTACAACTAATCATGTGGATGGTTGAAGGGCTAGTTCTTAGAAAAGGACTGCTAGGCATACAGCTCCATTCAGTCTTCTACACAAGGAAAATGAGATCTCAATTCACTGCAACCTCTGCCTCCCAGGCTGAAGTGATCCTCTCACCTCAGCCTCTCAAATAGCTAGGACTATAGGCACATGACACCATGCCCAGATAATTTTTGTATTTTTTGTAGCAATGAGGTTTCGCCGTGTTACCCAGGCACATCTCGAAACTCCTGAGTTCAAGTGATCCTCCTGCCTCGGCCTCTCAAAGTGCTGGGATTACAAGCGGGGGCCATTGTGCCTAACCACCTTATCCCTTTACTTGTACTGCTTATATATAAGCCCAAGCGTTTTCTTAGATAATGCATCCTTTGTGCAACAGGAGTAAATTAATACATAGACCTTCTCCCGGCATTTATCCATCTGAATAAGTGCTCAATATCTTAAATAATATTGTAAAGTCAGTATTTTAAAGTAATTCCTGCTCCAAAATGAGCAACTTCTAATGTATTTTCATTAGAAAGCTGATCTTGGGGCATTGGTTATATGAAAATGTTTGTCTTACCCTGTCAATTACTGGTTTTATTTTAACTCTTTATTTCCAGTGAGGAGGTAGATTTGGAACTTCCAAGCACTGAAAATGAGTATGTGTCAACTTCTGAAGCTGATGGTGGTGGAGAACCCAAAGTGGTATTTAAAGAAAAAACAGTCACTTGTCTTGGAGTTGTGGCAGAAGGAGTGGCCCCAGTCTTCAAAAAGAGAAGAACTGAAAATGGAAAATCTAGGAATTTAAGGCAACGAGGTGATGATCAATAGTTGCAGGAGAGCTTTTTGTATATGCTTTTAGGACAGAATGGAGACTTATACATCCAAAGTTTATTTGTGTTTGTTTGTAAGTACTTTGATGCTAAAAATTTAGATTTATTCTAAATGTATTTGATGTGAATTAAAATAAATATTTTTTCATGTGAAATTTATTTTGGTTCCTAAAATGGAAGCCTACCACATTACATTGTAATACAGTGTATTATGTTCTGTGTCTAAAAATTGCTAATTAAGTCATAATTTAAGATGCTATGTATCTGTTATTTAAAACATGGAGAAACAGGGCCTTTATTCCATTGGCATTCATATGAACATATTTATCCTGCATTGAAAATGCATTACTTTTGCACATTGATGTTAACTGTTGTCCAACAAATAAGTATCAGAGTACATGAGAAGATTCACAGCCCAGTGATAATTTGGTTCTGAGGCTGATGTAAAAAATGAATGCATATTGGCTGACCTTACTCAATTTAAAGTCAAAAGCCAACAACCAGGAGCAGCTCAGGTACTTCAGAGGTGCTTAATAATGGAGTGAAAACTGGACCAGAGGTGGAAATGTATATTTGCCCCAGTTCACTTCAAAGCAGCAAACGTTTAAGCATTTTACTTTGAACCAGGCATTGTGTTAGGAATCCAGGGATAAAGATGAATGAAATGTATTTCTGTTCTTCAGTAGTTCACATTCTAGCATATTCCTTTTTTCCCCCAGTCATGCACTCTTTTTAGCAGCCTTATATGTACTAGAAAAGATTTTTTAAGGTTTATTTAAAGCTGTGTAGATGAAGACTTGATCTAAAATAGTATAAGGTCTCTGGCTTCAGTAAAAGTTTTTAGTGTTTACTTAGTAATTTATCACTTTCTGTCTGGTTAAAATGTCTTAAAAAGTAGAATTTTCTTATTTAATCCATTTAGTAGTTACCTCCTTTTTACTTTTCAAATTCACAAAATTATATTTCTCATAAATTGTATAGTATTTAACTTTTGATAGTTAATATTTGTCTTTTTAAGATTACTAGTGTACATGTAAAAAAATAGCTTATTAAAAACTTTGTCAAAGAATAAGTTAAGTATTGTTGTTATTCTAATTCCAGTCAGAATCAACTTAGCATTGGTGAGATAGTATTTGGAGATTTGTCTTTGCATTTTTTCAGTCTACTTTTTGGGTATCTTAGGAATGTGAAAGCCTAAACTTTCCCCTTCATTAGGAAGAGATATTTTATAGTTCTTGATAGCCCATTCATCATCTAGCTGAGCAGTGCATTTTGGGGCTTCACTCTTCTCAGCTGGAAAAAATAATGGACTGTAATTGCAGTGCTCCTATACTTTACCCACATTTAGCTCTTAAAAAATACAAAATTGAAGGCATTTTTTAAATTAGACCTCGTGTAAACTTTTTCTTTGATGATTTTTAAAACAATCTCCTTTACTTTTGAAATTAGTATTCTCAAAAACTGAAAGCAAGGTAAATATCCTTAAACAGTATGGTTTTAAGGATTGCTCAGAAAAGACTTGATAGTAACAGCAATATTTTAGTAAATCAAATCATGAAAAATAGTAATATTCCATCTGCTTTGGAGGAATAGAGAACAGAACAGCTTTTAACTTACTTGGATGTTTTTGTAAGTGATATCATTTGTACTATTACCTTTCTATATTTATATATGTATATATAATATATATATATACTTCTAGATCATGAAAGTAATTTTTTAATAAATACAAAAATCCAAATAATAGAGAAATAAGTTTTTAGGAACTCTCGGTAATCTCTCAACCCCTCTCCATGACCACTGTGGGGTTTCCCATTTTTCTCAACATAACTGGGTATATATGGGTAACCCTTATGACATCTGGACCTATGAGGTTCACTATCTGGATGAAACCATATTCAAAGAAACATCCAAACAACCAAAAGTAGTTTTTGTTTTTTTAATGAAGTTTTTAATATATTCCAAGAACTGTACTAGGGGAATCAACCCTACCAGATATTTATGTATTAAAAATCTATAAGATACAATGAAGGCCGGGAATGGTGGCTCATGCCTGTAATCCCAGAACTTTGGAAGACCAAGGCAGGCAGATTGCTTGAGTCCAGGAGTTCGAGACCAGCCTGGGCAACAGGGCAAAACCCCATCTCTGCTACTAAAAATAGAAAAAGTGAGCTGGACTTGGTGGCATGCACCTGTGGTCCCGGCTACTCAGGAGACTGAGGGAGAATCACCTGGTCCCAGGAAGTCAAGGCTACAGTGAGTCATGAACATGCCACTGCACTCCAGCCTGGGCAGCAAGAGGGAGACTCTTGCCTTAAAATACTTGCTCACATTTATGCACATTATGTATAAACTAGTTTGTTTCTGGATTTATTTTATTATGCCAGTACCACACTGATTTAATTACTGTGTTTTTATAGTCTGTTTTAACTTCTGGTACAGGACATATCCTTATGTTACTTCATACTTGAACTACTTTTTCGAGATGTTCATAGTAAATATCCACTCATTATATCAAATAACTTTTTGTCAAGTTGTTTTCCCTGCTCCCCTCAAAAGAACTCTCTGATTTTGTGCTACATTTGAGTTGATAATAATTGCCATCTTTCTGACATTCATTCATCTTATCTCTCAACATGTGTTGTCTTTTCATTTAGTTCTTTCATGTCTTTCTGAAGTTACGTAGTTTTCTCCATATGGGCCCCGCACATTTCTTGAAATGTAAGTTCCCAGGGCCAGGTGCAGTGGCTCACGCCAGTAATCCCAGCACTCCGCGAGGCCGAGGTGGCGGATCACGAGGTCAGGAGTTCAAGACCAGCCTGGCCAATATGGTGAAACCCCATCTCTACTAAAAATACAAAAATTAGCCAGGCATGGTGGCATGTGCCTGTAGTCCCAACTACTCAGGAGGCTGAAGCATCAAAATCACTTGAACCCAGGAGGCGGAGGTTGCAGTGAGCGAGAACATGCCACTGACTGACCTGGGTGACAGGGTGACTCCATCTCGGGGGAAAAAAAAGAAAAGAAATGTAAGCTCCCTGAGGGCAAGAGCTTTGTTTTGTTCACTTAATTTCCTGTACTTTGATGTTTTGACATCTTAAAAAGCTTGTTGGCCTGGAAGTGGATACCTCTCCCAGGGCTAGTCCCTTCTTAGAGATAACTGAGGGCTCCCTAGAGCACTCTTTGTTATGCAAACCAACTAATCCCTAATCTATAGTCACACCTACCTGGTCTAATTCACACATCAGGCCAGTATCTTCTCTGCCCTAAATCATCCCAGGGCCAGATACCAGCCAACTAGAGACCACTCCTATAGCCAGCCCAAAGCCTGCCGGAATTATATTAGCCAATCCTAAACAGTTTACTTTGCCCTGCTTTGACTTTCCCATGGAAACCACAATGAAGGCTCTGGGCTAGACTTTCCCCGCTATCCTGTCTTAACACTACCTAACCAAAACATGGTCCTTCCTCTGAGGCCCTGCATGGCACATGATGACCCCTTCTTTAGGACCTGTGAGTATAATAAACTTCTTCCTTCCAAGCCTCAATCAATATCATCTCCTTCTGTGGCCAAACTAACTTTACCGTACCATATCCAACATTTACATTCTTAGAACAGTATAAACTTACATAACCTCTTCAGAGAGCAATTTTTCAATAGATCAAAATGTAAAAGCACCTATCTGTTGACCTTGCAATACCACTTGAACAAATATTTCCTATAGATACTCTCACACATGTAAGAAATGACATGTAAGACTAATAAATGTGACATTATTTCTAAATCAGATTGGAAACAACCTTAAGGTCTATCAGGGCAAAACTGGTTAAATTAATTATGCTACATCTAGTCATTAATCATGCTACATCTAGTCAGTGCAATGGTGTACAGCTGTTAAAAGAAAGGAACTTTATAGGTACTTACATGGATTGATCTCCAGGATACATTGTTAGGTCAAAGAAGCAAAATCCAGAAAAGGAAAAATAGTGCATTGGTTAAATCAGAAGTTCTAGTACCAATCATTGCCATTCCCTCTTTTGCTACCTAATAGCTTGTAAGATTGGGCAAGTTATTCCATCTCTGTATGTCTTCCTTTTCTTATTTGTAAAACAGTAAGTGTACCTACCTCCCAGCTTTGTTTTAAGGAGTGAATGACTTAATGTGTATTTAAAGCACTGGTTTATAATGATACTAGCTAAGATTTTGAGTTGTTGCTATGTGACAGGCATTGTAACATAGCAACAACTCAAAATCTTGGTATCATTTGTGTAAAAAAAAAATACACAAAACGTAAAATAAAAACACTAAACAGCATCTACTTTCTAGCCATTAGCACCGTGACTCATTCCTTTTTCTCTTCCCAAACTCTCATCTTACACAACTCCAAAGGCCAATTATTGCAATTTAGATATTCTCTAAATAGCTTGATATTCTGTGTGGTTTCTTTTGTAAATCAAACAAAGCTCTTGATTTTTGATTCTCAGGCTAAAATAGCTTAAAATTAATTCATTGGAGATGGATGATGTGATGGTTATACAACAGTGTGAATGTACTTAATGTCACTCAACAGTACATTAAAAATTGTTAAGGCCAGGCACAGTGGCTCATGCCTGTAATCCCAGCATTTGGGAAGGCTGAGGTGGGAGAATCGCTTTAGCTTAGGAGTTCACGACCAGCCTGGGCAACATAGCAGGACCCTGTCTCTACCAAAAAAAAAAAAATATATATATATATATATATAATTTTAATATATAAATATATATTTATATATAATATATAACTTTTTATATAATATATATTTTATATATTATATAAATATATATTTTTTTCATTTATTTAAATATAAATTAATTTATTTAATTTTATTAATTTATTTAATTTAATTTATATAAAAATATATAAATATATGAATATATAAATATAAAAATATATATTTATATATTTAATTTATTTAAATATATAAATTTATTTATTTTATTAATTTAATTTAATTTATATATAAATATATGAATATATAAAAATATATATTTATATAAATATATAAATATATTAAAATTAACATTGGATTAATATTGAGTTAATATTAAATATGTTTATATATACACACATACGTATATCTTTATATATTTATATGCATGTATGTATATGCATATATAGTTAATTTGATGTATATTTTACCACCAAAAAAAAGCACTCAATTTGCACATTGTATTGTAAACATCACTTCTGCCTTACTAAATCATAAAAGAGCTTGTAGAAACTTATTTCTACCAACCTCCTGTATGTATTCAATATTTTTTTGTTTGTTTTTGAGACAGGATCTCACTATCACCCAGGCCAGAGTATAGTGGCGTGATCAGAGCTCACTGCAACCTCGACCTGCTGGGCTCAAGTTATTTTCCTACCTCTGCCTCCCAAGTATCTGGGACTACAGGCATACAGGCATGCCACCACACCTGGCTGGTTCTTTTTTTTTTTTTTTTTTTCTAGGGGCGGGTGTCTCACTATGTTGCCCAGGCTGGTCTTGAACTTCTGAGATAAAGCGATCCTTCTGCCTCAGCCTCCAAAAATGCTAGGATTATGTGCATTAGCCACTGCACCCAGCCTAGTACTTTTTTTTTTAAATTGTAAATTCACTAGCCTAGTTTAAGCCATCTTCACTTCAAGCCGAGAATACTACTGCACTCCCAACTTTTGCTATTCTAGCTCATCCTTCACAGAACCAACGGAATAATCTTCCATGGTAAACCTCTGCAAATTTCCCTCCTCCACTAATCTCAATATTTCAAATCTATTAGCATTTAAGACTTTCATCTCATTTCTCAAAACAGGCTACTTATCTCTCTTTTAATTGGTTATTTCTACGTTGAAAACATTACATTCTTTTTTGTTTGTTTGTTTTTTGAGAGAAAGTCTCACTCTGTTGCCCAGGCTGGAGTACAGTGGCGTGATCTCAGCTCACTTCAACCTCAGCCTCCCGGATTCAAGCAATTCTCCTGCCCCAGCCTCCCAAGTAGCTGGGACTACAGGCATGCACCATCATGTTTGGCTAATTTTTGTATTTTTAGTAGAGACA